GGTGCTCAGCAAGAGAAGACCAGGTCAGATAGCACCAAGCTAGTCCCCAGAACCCCCAGGATCTCTCAGCCTCTCTGACACAGGTTTTCACGTCTGTGAAATGGGGCCAAACCCTCTCCCCACTGGGTTCTGGGAACATCAAGACACCGTGAAGAGCAGCTACGGTGCAGAGAAAGGAGCATGGGATTTGGGGCCAGGAGACCCCACTGTGATCCTGGCTCAGCCTCAAGGCCTGGGGAAGGCTCTCGACCTCCCGGGCATTAATCCCCATCTGCGGGAAGACAGTGATGAAAAGCCTCATCCTTCGCTAGGATGGCTGTAAAAGGACTTTGGAAACTGAAGTGTGGAACAGATGTTCAAATTCATGTGGGAAAGGGGGTTGGTTCCAGAAAGGTACAGAGCACCATTCCGAGTGTCCGGGCTCCTCCCCAACCGGGTCCCACCACCTCGGTGTCAGCATTCACCACGGATCATCCAATCGGACCTAACCCACCCCACGCAAACGCAGGCTGCCGCTGAGTGGGAGAGACAGCCAGCTGGACCCCGACGGAGGAGCCACGGAGAGGCAGCCAGCCCGGTCTCCTGGCTGAGGGTGTCCCTGGGGGACGTAGCCCAGGCCTGAGCCCAGGACAAAGGGACATGGGAAGACTGCCCAGGGTCAGAGGAGCCACTGTCTGCCAGGGGTCTTGGGACAGCCACGGTGCCCGGGAGCCCATGAGCCTGCAGGGAATAATACATGGTGCTGGCGAGGACACCTGCAGGAGGAGGGGAGAGGAGCTTTGTATCGCTGCTCCTTCCCGGCCGCACCTGCGTGGCCCTGAAGGAACGCACAGCTCGGTGAGAGCGAATGCCCTGAGGCCGCAGGCAGCAGTGATGAGGAAGGGCCTCCCAGGTTCTCGCAGGGGTGGAGGGCTCGGTTCATTCCGGTTCGGGGTTTGCACAGGGGTCAATGGAGCTCAACCTTGAAAGAAAAATACGTTTCCACGGGACAGAGGGAGAAGGGACAGCAAACGCACGGACAGGAGAGCATGGAGCGGCCCTTCCCGCGGTGGTAAGAACCAGATGTTCTCTCCCTAAATGGTAAAAGCAGATACAGAGAGCCGGAGTAGCACGGGGTCATGGGCAGGGTGCCTGAGGTGTGGGCCAGGCATGGGTTTAGGGTGCCTTCAGAAAGAAAGGGATTAGCTTCTGAGGGGCCTTGCATGCCAGCGTCAGGGGCTGGAGCTCGGCATGGGAAGAGATGAGGGCCCACTGGGGTGGGGGCCTGTGGTCAGCTGCTGGTTCTCCGAGTTCCTTCCCGCTGACAGGGGCGGAGGATGGTTGAAGGGGTTGAGACAGGAGACTGATGAAGTCCAGGTGAGAGATGATGAGGCCTGAGCTAGAGAAAGGGGACAGAGGCCAGGGGGAAAGAGGCTTGTTCAGGGGGTGAGGCGCCTGTCTCTCGGAGGCCCGGCCTCTGCACACGGACCACATCGCTAACAGCTGCACTGCACCTGACGCGCCTTTACAAGGACCTTCTGGCCAGGCGGGGGGCCACAGTGCCGTAAGCCACATGCCCTGTGGTGCATGCACCCCAAACGGAGACAGGCTGCGCCCCATCCTCTCTCCCTTCCATTGAACCCAGGCTGGGGGGCCAGTCCTCTGGGGACTCAGCCAGGGGAACAGTGAGGGGCCGGAGTAGCTGGACTGCGTGGGGGAAGGGCAGGAGGGAGGGGGAGGGGAGACCGGGAACAGGCTGAGGCCTTCTCAGGAATGGGCTTACCCCCCACCAAGCACTGGACTCTGCCCCGGGCTGGGGCTCCCAGTCCCCGCCCCTCTCTGTGAGGAGGAAGGAACCCTCTGCCTTGACCGTGGCTGCAGTCACACCCTGCAAAACAGCAGCCAAGTACCAGAGGGTGAACAAGTGGGGCTCCCACTAGGCACCGAGGAGGTGGGACAGTCTCCTCTCACTCACTCTGACCCGGAGCAGCCTCTGATCCTCCTGTTCAGCAGCCTCGGTCACTTGCTGGCCTCATGTAAACCAGCAGCCTCGGCCCCCTAACACCGCAGGAGCCGCGGGCGCAGGGCTCACTCCTATTCTGCAGGGGGCGGGGCTCCTTCTAGGCAGTGACTCTGGCCTGAGCAACCTGCCTCCAGATGATGCCCAAGGGATGGGAGAGGACGTTCCTCACCACGAGAGCCGACATCTTTATGGCACAATGTGGCTGATAACGGCACAACCCACTGATAATCTCCAACCCCCAACATGTAATGGGCTTAGCTGGTTTTAGACCTGAGCATTGCACTTCATGTCGGAAAAACAACTTCAAGAAATGGAGTAAATTAGAGCTGTGTTTAAAAGGCTCTTTGCTGCTCCCAGCTGGCAACAGGTGGGCCGGGATGAATGGACTGGGGTCTTTCCTCGTGAACCCGCGCACTCTGGGGAGGGGGCTTGGGGGCGCAGGCAGAAGGCCCCGCACTCTGTTTCTCACAGCGGACCCTTGAGGAACATGGATTGCCCTGGCCCACGCCACCGGCCTGTTGACAGCGAGCAGAGTCCTGGGGGACCCCGGCCGCCCCGGAGCAGGGAGGACCCACCAGTGGTCTGCCTCTCGGCTGGACTCGGGCCCATCGGGGATGAACAGGAGCTGGGAACAGACTGGCGGACGGACCCAAGTCCTGACTCCACCACGCGGCCTCTAAGGCCTTCTTCCCTCATCTGAAGATGGGAACAGCGTCATGAAACTGCCCACGGGGACCGGAGAATTAAGCTGATGACATCTTTACAAGGTCCCCATGTAGGAGGCCTGCCCCCCCCAACTCAGGCCGCCTGTCCTGGTTTTTGCTGGGAAAATAAAGACACTGCAAGTGGCTCCCATCACTGAACAGCCCGGGCTCTGCAGGGCTCGGACGGCTGGGCCCTCCGGCTGGGAAGGAGGAGGCTGCAGGGCAGGGCGGTGAGCGGGAGCCACACGCAGCGGACGGACGCAGGTCTTACTCCTCCAGGGAGTGGGCTTCTGGCTGGAAGGAGGGGCCGGCAAGGATCCAGAGTGGGCCCCACTCTAAAATAACTCAGTAAGAGTTGGCAGGATCTTGACTGACAACCTTCACTTTGGGTTTAAAAACATTCCTGGGCTCTGGCCATTTGGCTCAGTGGTAAGAGCATCGCCCGCGGACCAAAGAGTCGCAGGTTCGATTCTGATCAAGAGCACGCACCTCAGTTAAGGTGGGTCCCTAGCCCTGGTCAGGATCATGCGGGGTCAACCAGTTGATGTGTCTGTCTCACATTGATGTTTCTCTCTCCCTCCCACTCTATCTGAAGATAAATGAAAAAATATCCTTCAGTGAGGATTTAAAACAAGAAGAAGAAAAAACCTCCCTGGGAAGCTGAACCCAAGCCCCTCGGTTCTGTGCACCGGAGCCTGTGTGAGAGCTTGAGTCAGCTGCCCCCTTGGGTCCGGGTGAGGGGAGGGAGCAGGAGACGGGCTGGGTCTTAGAAGGAAGAGGACAAGGACAGAGTAGGAGAAGGAAGACGGGTGTGCTGGTCTGGGACACACTTCTGCCCACACGCCCCTCCCCCTCGCCCTACCTTCGCCAGCATTTCCTGAGCCTGCCTGTGTGCCAGGCACTGTGCTGGTGCCCTCGGACCTTGTGTCCTCCTGACTCAGAGTGTGCCAGGCCCAAATCCAACAACACGGTGGAGAGTGTGGCCCTGAAGGGCCATCTCCCATCTGCCTGTGTCCAAGGCCCTGGACCTGGACTCAACCACGGCCACTTTCCACATGCCACTGTGACTGTCCACAAGGCATCCCCTCTGAGAGGAGGGCTTCCTGGGCACACGGGTGGAGACAAGGGAGGGTCCTGTAGGAGGAGAGCCGGGCTCCCTGCCCCACACCACGCCTGGCACCTGGGCTGCTGGCCTCACACTCCTGCCCGTCCTCGTCCTCACCCAGGTCCCGTGTCCTCACCCAGGCCCCGTGTCCTCCCCTCAGAAGCCCTCCCTCCCACAGGGTGCCCGGCACATGGCGGGCACACAGGAGCCCTCAGCAGCGCTGGCCACACAGTGAGCACCCATCCAAGGAGGGCTCCCATCAGAGGCCATGCGGCCTTGGGACTCCTGCTTTGGGGTTGAGGTCAAACAAAATCAGGCAAAATGATCTCTGTGGCTCCTGCCAGCTTCGAGACTCGAGGAGGCTTAGCTAGTGACTTCTTCGTTAATTATTTCCTTTTTTATCCTCACCCGAGGACATTTTTGCATTTTTTGTTCAGATAGAGTGGGAGGGAGAGAGAGAGGGAGAAACGTGGACATGAAAGGGACACATCGAGTGGCTGCCTCCCGCACAACCCCAACCGGGCCCAGGGACAAACTGCAGCCGAGGTACGTGCCCTTAGTGGGAACCGAACCCGGGTCTCTCTGGACCGCAGGCCGACACTCTAACCACTGAGCCAAACCGGCCAGGGTGATTATTTCTTAATTAATAACAAACCGAACACTGCAGCAATTGGCAAGCTAATGAAATAAATGAGGCTAATCTGTTAACTACACCCATGTAGCACATGATGGGGACGGGAGAGTCACGGACGCCTACTGGATATTTCCACTTCGTTCCCACAGATCAGGTGGTAGGAAACAAACATGATGCTCGTGGGCTTCAACCAGCGTCCTCTCGGGGCCCCACGCACCCGAGACTCGGCCTCCTCAAGCCCTTTCCTCGCCACAGCTCTCTGTCCGGGAACTGCCGGGGCCCCAACACAACAGCTTTACCCCATGTCACTTCCTGTGAGCGCACACAGAAGATGCCATCTGCTGCCTTTGGGACGTCATATGTCCATGATGACTTGCAAACAGGTTGACCCCCAAGAGGTGCCGGGAGGCAGGCGGGCGAGAGTCAGTCGGCCCCGCGAGGCGCAGCTCAGCGGACGTGGAGCCGATGAGCGGGGTCCGGGCGGGAATTCTCAGCAGCTCTCTCCACCGCCGGAAGCCCAGGGCCTCTCTCTTCTTCAGGGAGGGTAGACGGCCCTCAGGACAGGGCTTGTTTGGAATGGGAGGGCTTGCCTGTGCAGGGCGGGAGCTGGCCCTCTGCTGGCCTGGCTGCCGGGCTGGCTTCCTGGGACGTGCCACTGGCTTCCTGGGTCCCTGACCCGCCGCTGCGGCCGTACACCAGCCGCTTTTCGTCCAGCAGGGACAGGTGGTATTCACACAGGTCGATCAGCGAGGCCACCTGCTCGTGGAGGGGCAGCATCTTGAACTTCCTCTGAGCCAGGTAAAAGAAAGCCTCTATGAAGGCCTGCAGGCACATCCCTGTGGGCAAAGAGACCAGAGTTAGCGGCACGTGCGACAGCTGCCCTGGCTCCGCCCACTAGGCTTGCCCACCATAGCATCCATTCCGGAAACGAAACAGAGCTTGTTCACAGGGTCCCACCTACCATGCGCCCAGCTGGGCATAGAAAACCACTGGCAGATTTGATCCCTTAAGCAACCCTATGCGGTGGGTTTAATTAGCCCTATTTTACAGATGAGGAAAACTGAGTCTCAGAGAAGTGGGGAGACCTGGGCAAAGTCCTGTGGGTAGAAAGTGGTGGACTTGGGATGTAAGCCTGGTCCAAAGCCTTAGCCCTCTGCACCAAGATTAAATGTCCCCAGTGAAAGCCAGCCCCTAACTTTGAAACTAAGAGAGATGTTATTACAGTAAGCCCAGTCTGATGGCAATGTTCCACACCTGGACAGAGGTGTTGGCTTCGAGGGTGTGTTTGTCAAAATTCATCAAATTGGACCTTAAGATTTGTGCATTTGGCTGTCTGCAAATTTTACCTCAAAAGGTAAAATACACCTGACCCCTTTTCTCTACCCAAAACTATGTTCTGGAATGTACTTTTTTTTTTGTATGTGCCCCTAGTGGGAACCGAACACGGGACTCTCTGGTCCACAGGCTGACACTCCAACCGCTGAGTCAAATTGGCCAGGGCTGGAATGTATTAATTAGTCTCCCTTGTGCCCCTGGCATGTTCTTTCCTTACTTTTGCCTCCTAAGCACCTGCTTATTCTTGGTATCCAAAATCACTTGCTCAGTAAAACCGTCCCGATCCCCGGCTCAGACCCGGCCCAGCACAAGCTCCCTGCACTTTTCGTGCAGCTCACACTGCACGTCAGTGCTTGTCTGTGCGGCTCTTCAACGACCTGCCTTCGCTGCTGGGCTGTGAGCTCCAGCTCAGCCCTGTACCCCCAGTGCCCCAACTTCCCAGCTTGTGACCTGACCCAGAGGTGCTCAACACTGACATGCTGAACACATGAGTGAGCGAAAGAACGAACGAGTTGGTCTCGGCACCTTGCAGACATTGTCACTAATCTTCACAAAACCTTTGAGGTCAGTATTAGTACACCCTCCTTCACAGATGAGGAAACTAACTCAGAAAAGTTGAGTAACTTCTCTGAGGTCACACAGCAGAGAAGAGTGGCCTGGAAATGCAAACTCTGACTCTCATTCCTGTAACTAAGCTGTGCCACGTGAAGGGTTCTGAGTCCTTCCAATGTCCGAGTGAAAATGAACCCTGGGATCCACATTCACGGGAGTCCCCGGGCTCACTGGGGAAGGTGACAGGAGGCTGGACTGGATGCCCCATGGTGTCTGCAATGAGGCCAGTCCCGTCTGCTATCCACACCTTCCCGGAGAATGCTCCCGCCTCAGAGGTATTATTCACCAGCTTGTCACCACAGGTAGAAGCCAGGCCCTGAGTCTGTAGACACCGGGTTATTTGTGGGCTCTGGGATCTGAGAACTCTTCCTGCCTTGGGAACGTGAGCTGAACAAAGTTGTTCTGTGTCTTTCCAAGTCCGTCAAGGCTTTTCGCTCAGCTTCCCTCGGCAGACGCTCTGCAGGCCCCCTGCTTAGTTTGGCCCTGACAGGGGAGTTGAAAACGAGAGCAGTAACCCTGGTGTAAAACCCCTTGAACGTAAACAGAGTCCCGGTGGGACAGAGGCGGGTAAATGGGGTCTCCGTCTGAATCAAGAGCAGACTCGGGGGCCCAGGGCCTCCTGGGGTGCGTGTGCGTGGGAGGGTCAGACACATGCAGAGTGGAAGAGGCTGGGACCTAAAGCCAGAGAAACCCAGTGCGGTCCCAGCCCCCAACTTCCCAGCTTGTGATCTACACAGCGCTACCCAAAGTGTGGTCTGCAGCCCGTGCCAAGCCCAGGAACTGCGTGTCCCTGGTCCCTGACAAGATAAGGAGCCCGGGCCAGAATGTAAACCGCCCTCCTCATCAATCACATTGTTCAGCTCAGCTGGCAGCGTTCCGTGGCAAGTCCCTCTCGACAAAGGAAGCAGCACGCTCTGCATCCCGGCTCAAGCCTCCCGTCCAGGACCGAAGGAACAGTCCGTGGGCTGCAGCTCTGAGCAGCTCTGAGCAGCTCTGTCCACACAGCCCTCCCTGGCTTTGCGTGCACGCCGCCCCCGCGAGCTCGTGGGGATGCGGGCTCTGTGGTGGCCCCCAGATGCTCACCGCATTCCCGATAAGCCAGGGTGCTTGGAGCACACTGGGCAGCAAGGACGGAGCGCCCTTTCCTCCACAAATATTTGTTTCCTTCCCTTAATTGAAGACAGACAGTGATCAGAGCTATAACGCACAGAAAAATACACTGAGGACCTTTTCTGGAAAAAACAACGCGTGGCTAAATGGTCTGAAAGAAGCCATTCTCAAATGAGAAGTGGGATTTAATGCGTTATACTTGGTTGGCTTTTCCACCTTTTCTGATTTTCTATAGTAAACACATATACAATTTTAAAACATACAATGGAAAATTCTAGAGGGTGGGAAGGGGTGCATCAAGGGCAGCTGCTTTTAATTATGAACCCTCTGCTACCATTTAAATCTGAAGTGAGGTACACGTATCGCTTTGAAAAAAGACAATGTAACCTTTTTGTGCGTATGTTCTACTTTGATATATTGACTGATGTATACGTGAAAAACAGACGAGGCAGTAAAGGGGACTGGACATTACTGACCCTTCCGTGAGTCAGATCTGCTGCGCCAGGCGATCTGATCCTCGCTACAACACCCATCGTGCAGATGAGAAAGTTGAGGCCCAGAAAGAACTAACTGGCCCTCAGGTCACACACTGGTAAGTGGCAGGGCTGGGATTTGAACCCAGGCTTTCTGCACTGCTGATTTTGCAGCTCATTCCTGAAAAACCCTCCTAAGCATCCCTACCAAGAACGCTCTGGGGGTGAGAACACAGTGGTGGGGGACAGACAGGTTCTGTGGAAATATGTACAACCTTCAGGTAACAGCAAAGTCAGTGACTGGGGAGTCTGGGGCGTTGGGGAATCAGTGGAGGTTTGTGGGAAAGGGGCATTTGAGCTGGGCCTTGAATGGGTAGGGCTTCGATGGGCAGGGACGGGGTGGAAGGCTGGGCTTCGAGCAGGGATGAGCAAGGCAGGAGGTGGGTGTGTGGCCCAGCAACCCAGGTGCCTGCAGCAGGACAGGCTGGGGAAGGGCCGAGGACTAGACGCTGGAGGCAGCCGGAAGGCCAGAGGAAGTGAGCAGGGAGCCACCGGAGGTGCTGGGGTGAAGCTAGCCCCCACCTGAGCTGTGGTCCCACACCCAAAACAGCGGAGCACATTTCTAGTCCGGGGATTTCTTTCTTTATTTTTGTAGTTACAAAAACTTTGTGGGATTTGGGGCGGGGGGTGTTTTGCTTTAGTCTTCAAATGACATCTGGTGAGGTAGCGGCCCAGATCTCTGCCCGCACAGAGCTCCCCACCCCGAGCTCGGACCTCTGTCCCCAGCCGCCACACCACCTGAGGCTCGGCACCAGCTCTTCCACTGGGTGCCCACGGATTTGTAAAACATGCGGCACCTGCCTATTTAGTCAGGGCACCAACCTCTTTTCCCTTCGACTGTCAAATACAAAAATGACACCAGCCAACACAATAGCCATCCGGTGTGAATGAAGCAAAATTATACCTCTTTTTTTGTCGTGTTGGCAAAATATGCTCCAGGATTTTAGTAATTAATGTGTGTCCCATGAGAGGGAAAAGGTTGAAAATTGCTGCTCTAGAATCTTTGTCTAGCATCTTCATTTTACTGGGGGGGAGGGGGAGGCAGGAAATGAGGCCCCAGTAACTTGTAGAAGCAGGGCCAGACCCCAGGTCTCCTGAGCTCAAAGTGCACCCCAACCGCCAGCACCAAAGAGAAAGCAAACCAAACACGTGTCAGGCCAGGGACTGGCGAAGAGGATCCGTCTACCCTCACTCAGCCCTGCCTCCTCTGCTCGTCCGTTGTTGAGTGTGTCAGTGTGTCTGAGAGAGACTGCGGGCTGCTGAGGGTGGGGAGAGGGGATGCCCCAAACTGTACACCACACTCATGGGTCTCTGCTCCCACAAAATCCATCCTCCAGGCTACACCTTTGAGTTCCACAAGACTTTGTCTTTGGTCCTCATTTCATCAAGGTGGCCCAGGAAACGGTGGCTGGACCCAGGTCGGTATTCACTAAGCTCAGGGCATTTAACCTTTTGAAGGATTGGGGGGAGGGGGAGGAGGAGGAGCAATGAAGGAGCGGGGGCACTCGGATGGTCTAAGTGATGTTCCAGGAGCAGGCTGGCGGGGCCCCCACTGGAGCTATGAGCTGGGGCAGGTGACACAGCCCACCTGGCCAGCGTCTTCAGCTTTTTCCTGATCCTGCACGGAAAGGCGATATGTTCATTCCCGGTCTTTCTCCTCCTTGTTATCATTGATTATAAAATATAGTGAGCATCTCAGCAGGAAGCATGGCAAAGCTCATGCCTGTCCCCCCTCAAGGACCCAAGGTCCTCACTGACTGGCCTTCCAGCTGCTCTCTGTCCACAGATATTTTCGCGCAGTTGTAATGACAACGTGCACAGAGCGCTGTCCTTACTGCTTTCGGTTATAAACTTATAAACGCTGTATGTTGCTGTGCAGCCTTCGTAACATTATTTCAGTGGTGGCATAATAGTCCATCAAGTCCTGCCTCCTGGCTGGTTACATTGTTTCCACTATTTGCACAACACGAAACTAACCACTTGGTTTACGACTGGGTTTTTATTTCCAATTAACTTATTCTCTTACCATGAAACCCTAGGAACCTAGTTTCTTTCTTTAAAACATAAAGTTGGTTTGGTAACTAGTTTCCTGTTAAAAATACTTCAACCTACGGAGTCCCCAAATGGCCAAAGCACACAGAGGGGCAGGGCACATACATCAGCAGGTGAGAGACACCCAGGCCCCCTGGAGCCTCAGGTGCTACTGCTCAGCCGTTAAACTAACGACAAGTGAATGGCCGGGAACA